AGGAATTCCTCAATAACCCTCTTTCAGTTTATGGTCTTCGAGACGAAAGTATGTCGAGTTCTTTGTTCATTCTCCACTGCCCCAATGTCATGCAACTTCGCAGGACCCGCTTTCTTACTGTTCTTAACTGAGATCCTTGACCGAGTTCCGCTCGGTCGCATACACACGCGTTCGGATAGGCACCGTTCCCAAGGGGCCGACCTGGAGATATCAACCAATTCTCTTCTCCAGCGACGGAGACTGAATACTGAAGGTCTGGGAACCGCTTCCATATCTTGAAGAAACGTATCGAACGAGGTCTTGCGTCGCCCTACCCTTCGACACCTCCAGGTGGACTGCGATGCCGGGTCGAGGACAGCATTACAAAGCTCTGAGGTGGCCTGAGATATCTTCAGGAGGTTGTCGCAGCGAGTATAGGCTGCCACAGTTGAGATGAAGCAGATGTACTCCATCCGAAAACAAAATCCTCAGGCAGCGGTGGTCAAACATCTCCACTTGTTCGTTCATCTTCTGCGCGAAATCCAGCATCCACAAAAATATCCGGTGTTCCCCTCCTGCAAATCGTAGCGTTACGCGCTGCACCAACATTTAATTTGGCGAAATGGCTTTTCAATAATCTGAAGTCACTCACTACGAACGCCCCCGCGACTGTCTGGTCTGCCACCCAAATCCTGGAACGCCTCAAGGGAATGCGACTCACCGAAGGTGAGTTCATGGTGTCATTCGACGTCAGGCTTCTCTTTACCTCGACTCCACAAGACTTGCCAGTCGAGACCGTCAGCGAGCTGCTCGAGAGCCAGTACGACGAGGCGGGCGAGTTGGTGAAACGGAGACAACTTCTCCAACTTTCGAAATTCTGCCTAAAGACGTACTTCACCTTCGAAGATGGTTGATATAATCGCAAACCCCACGCACCACCCCCTCCCCCCAATATATACCGAAGTTGCAATTAAATTATTTAAGGTTAACCGGTCAAATCGCATTAGGAGACGACATTGGATGGCACTGTCGGGAGCACGGTAAGTGACTACAAGCCCTAGAAATTTGAAAAATAAAAACCGCCAACTTTCCGAACAACCTGAGGGATTTCAGTAGTAGTACAATTTTGCACTAGCTCACCGTACAATCCAGTCCTTATTAA